AAGGTTGCTAGGCCGCGGGAGCAAATCAAGCCTCCTATTGGCTGAGTAGTAGCGGGTACCTAGCAACAGGTGTGGATGTCCAAGGCGTCCTTAGTAACACAATTTGTTCGGGGAAATGTCAACAAAATAGCAGACTTTATGTAAACACATTCCAGGCAAATACATCAGCACTCAGGTTGCCCACATGCGGGGTCATAAAGAAAAATTTGGGCTGCAAAAATATGGTATTATTTACCATTTATGGGTCATAATAATAATTTTAAAATCCAAAATATGACCCGAGGATCTGACAGTTCAGTTCACTTTTTTTTTTTTTTCATAAGGAATTAATTTTCATAAGGAACTAGCAAACCCAGCGAACTCCGTTTCGCCACCAGATAGCTTCGTTTTATGTAACATTTCGTTTTGTGATTAAAAGAAAACGATTTTTTTTTTAATTTTTCCTGAATTTTCTTTGCTATAAACCTCACGGAGCCCGAGACCTTTCCAACGAATACAAAACCGTGGAAATCGGTTCGTGCGTTCTGGAGTTATAGCGTCAGGAAGGAAAACCCGACTTATTTTTATATAGTAGATTATGAATAAGACGTCCTCTCCTCTTCCAATTGCGATACCCTACAGGGTACATTATGCACTTTTTATCTGTTAAAACTACCACCTTTGTATCTCCATTATGGTCTGCAATAAATGTTGAATTGAATTTAATTGAACCCCTTTTCACTCTTCAATACCCTTTTCACCTACCAATCTCCTGTGCTTGAAAAGGATACTTACTTTAAGTTATCACTTCTGTCGTGCATCACGAAACGCACACGTTTCTTTTTTTAGTAAAAAATTCTTAAGATTAAAATATCTTGTAGTTCAATGTAAAAAAAAATGGGTGCGTGTACTTATGTAGGCGCGTGAGAAGTTATCCTTCTTTGGCATCGTTTAAAATTAGTTTTTAATTGCATGCAAATAATTAATTACAATAAATTAATAAAAAGTCTGGAAAAGGACACAGTCAATAAAGTTCAGTTTTAATTTGAAAAAATAAATAAATAATCAAAATATTCAATTAAAATCGCTACTGAATATAATTTATTAGAACATATGTGATTTGCACTTGTATGAAACTCAAACACGTATTACGAATATACAAACTAGAAACATGTGGATAAATATTATAAATATGAATACCTATAACTGTTACTTTATTACAAAAAATAAAGATGTGGTTTTTGGTTCTACTACACCAATGGTCAAGAGATGGCGCTGTAGTCTCCTGAATCGCGCTTTGGTTCCGTTGTTCCAGATTAATAAATACTTTTGATAGGCCTTCACAATGCAGTCGTTAGCACCCACTAAATAGAGATTCTATTACTATTTTGTTGGTAGATTTTCTTAATGTGCGGTAAACACAAAAGTAACAGCATGAAGTTAGTCGCTAAAGCGACCAACTTCATGATGTTAACATTTTAAAATTTCACTCTCATCATTTTTTCAATACGCGCCTAAAGAAGTATAACTTCAATAATAATATGACGATGATGGTGTTATTGAATATGCGCAGGGAGGGCGCCGCGCGTCGCGAGCCGGCGCCGTACGAGCCGCACGCGACGCTGTACGCGCGACAACACGCGCCCGCGCACGCACCGCTGCACACACAGTGAGCTATAATATAAACCTTACTACACTATATACACAGGTCGCGGCACGTCACTCTAGCGCTGAACAAAACGCGTCAGGGATAGCTGCGCATGGGAACCCTTATTATAATAAATATGTAGCAAATATCGAGATGGTGCAGAAAAAAATCATGAAAAACATGCAGTACAGATGCGGTCAACCTCGTTTGTCATATCAACAGATTCTGAAACAATATAAACTAACAGACCTAAAATCGAGGCGACAACAACTAGAAGCCATAGTTTTATATGATATTATGTCACAGCGGGTTTGTTTGCACTGAATTAGTGAATAAAATTGGCTATATAATACCCAGACGAACGCGGATGAGATCCTTGCGAAAACATCAAGTATTTGCAACATCTTTATGTCGTACCAATGCAGGCAAGCGATCTCCTCTGCAGCGTGTCATGAATTTACACAATAGCGCTTTACATGATATACACATCTTTGCTGTAAATAAATATCAATATATAAAAGGCTTATAAGCGAAACATTTAGTCGATTCCGGCATGATTCTCCCAAGGCTAAGCTTAGATTTGGCAGCGGTGTATCTTTGTCATTCTCTATACAGAGTGAAAAGGACGGACTGGTGTTAGGTTTGGTTTTGGATTTGGAGAATCCTGCCAGAATCGACACCATTGTTTTGTTAAATATATATGTATTTTTTTTATGTAAGAACTTTTCTCACGTAGTAACTCTCAACAAATATTGAAAGTAACTTGTGGTTAACGGTGTTGGTTTTGCAATTATAAAAACTTGGTGTTATTATATTTTATATAAGGTTTATTGTAAAACTGTTTGTTGACTAAAAAAAAATGGGTACGACTGGAGAGACAATCGGCGCAACGAACGCCCACCCGCGCGCCTCGTTCCCCCCCATTTTTACTTTTGCGCAATAACGGGCAGCTCTAGAGTTTCGTGCCTCGCCTCATACAGGACTGAGAGTTAAACGCGCTCCACATTCTCGAAGAGAGGTCTCGGCCAAACGTTTGGTCGAAACCGACGAGATTGACGAAAGTACGCGAGACAGGGTAGTTCATGAAAATAATTTATCAGGTTAAATGCAAATAGTTATATAGGGTCCCATTAGAATAGAATAACTTTAGTAAAATTCTAAAAATAAAAACTATGCAAAAGAGCGAGCGTACAAGGGCACCCGAAGTAACCACATGAGTAAGGCACCGCGCACACTAGACGGCCACAGCTACGACCAGCGGCCGCAACGATAACGGATAAAAATACCAGATTAGCCAAATAAACCATACATACCATATGAATGCAACTATATCAAATACCCTAGATACACCACGTGCGCCCAAAATGTGTCCCAAATCAAGAAGTGCTTGAACATCACTCAAGTTGATTCACAGTCACGCGGGGACCGTTGAAGTCAAGATGCCACAGAGCTCCGCGAAAGAATGCGAAATAAATACTTATAGTACGTAAAGTGTCCTTTTTTTCGACAGGTATCTAATGAATGTTTGTTAATTTAACGCATTTGAAGCAAATTTTGTCCTAATACTTACTATAAATTGATTTAATAGAAAATATTTGTGATATTCAAATGCATGGTCGGTGTTTACGCGCTACGGTTTGTTGAATTACAAAATGAGCAAATGACCGGAGGACAGTGGAAATAAGGGAAGGACTTACCCTTGTTGCGCACGTGCTCTGGGCAAACTTTCTTCGATAAAATATTCAAGGTTCCTGTTTCTCGTCCTGGAGGCGTCCTTGATTGGACGCACTAGCACTATGGAACTTTAACTGTTTATATATAATAACACTGATAACATATGGGATTATCAAACCCGAAAAGACGGACACGTTGATTTTGGATGCCATTATGGATGGGGAAAGAGAAAGGTATATACACGCAATGAGTGCGAGGGAGAAAGGAACCATCTGCTCATTTGCGTTTCGATAACATCAACTTGTATTAATATAGCTTAATCAGTCGGTAATATACCTGTCTCTGACAGCGCATTCAGAATTGTCTACGCGATCATCTTACGGAGCTCCGTAGATCGTCCAAGGTACCTTTTGGACAAGTTTCTGTTACGATTTTGTTCGTGATGTTGTACCTAGGGTATTTAATAGCTCGCCTGATATTAGCGGCCATCATAGCCTATACACGCTTGCGATATCAAAAGTATCACTCGTACCGTTGCCTAAACTGACCCAAACCTTGAAGAACCTGTGCCCCACAGCAGTGCCATTTCATGGCGATTAAATTTTACGCAATTTCATACAGATTGTTAGAGATATCCATTTCGTTCCCACGTGTAACTATAATAAATATCTAATATCTATCTTTCTAATCAGACATTGTATTTTCATAATTATTATGATCATTGAACTGGTCTCAAAGTTGAGTTTGTGATATTTTTTATAGATGCAAAGAAGATGAAGATAGAACCGATTACAGGGAACATTACCAACTACACAGGTATGTGAACAAATAAATAAATAAAAATTAAAATTAAAAATAAAATTAAAATTATTTATTTCGGACAACAGGTCATCAATCAATCAATGATACAAATGCAAATAATAAATTAACATCATCAATAATAAATAAATAAACATAACAAGTCAATCTTTTCACATTAATAAATATTTAAATAATATTTAAATATATACAAAATATACTCAGCTCACATTAAAATTTAAACATATCTAAACATTATTTCTACATTAAGATATTATGCCGCTGGTAACAAACAACGGTAGAGTCTGAGCGGAAATAGAATGGAATTTAGATTGGAGGGCGCTGTAGTGCTTTTCTATGGTATTTGTAAGGTTTTACCCCTTTTAGACATGATTATATACAAAAAACCGCAAGAAATTACAACAACAAACAAATCCGTATCAATACAAAACTTTGACGTTTTACAGATTGCTGGGTTTGATTGCCAAATAAAAATCTTAATGTTAGTTCCGTTTTTCGCCACGCCCATTCTCTTTCCGCACAGACTCTAGCACACATAACAATCTACACAGACCTAGCGTGTTGACTCATGGCCCAATCTCTCTATCCATCCATAGAGGTGCTGATATTAATACGTCCGCTATGATGATGACGTCCTCCGCGATTCCGAAGGCTCATTTAGCCGTTGGTCCCGGCAACATTAGACCAATCTGCGCTGGGCTTGCGAAGTGACACGGCCTTATTTCTCTACTTCATCCATAGGGAATGTGATAATGAAGTTGTCCATAATTCCGCAGGCTGCATTAGCTAATCCGTAACAGAGTTGCGTGGCGGACCACAGCTTTTTCTCCTTTCTGTATGAAAAATCTGTACCCCATAGTGGGTCATTAATACGCTGATGATGTCCAGGTATGCTGGGTACGGCAAGTGCGTGGAGGAGGGTGGTGAGGCGCGCGACTCCAGGGAGGAGGCTGTCACCAGCTCTGCTGAACATCACCACTGGGACGAGAAACTGGGTACGTATGTACTGAGGAGCTCTAGCCAGAGTGGATAGAACCTGGGGACGTAGCGATTAATTAAAAGATGCTAGATTGTCAACGTTATTTATTTGATTCAGGCGAATATAATTATTTTTATCTAAGCTACGAAAGGGTTGGTGCCTGAAGATCGACTCTGAATGGAACCTTCTATCAAGAGACAGACGATTCCTTATTTCAAATCTTAAAATCATGACATTAACTTTTTAATATAACTGCCAACCGTAGGCATTGCAAAAGCAAAGAGTTTACCTAAACAAGGAGGCTTCAACGTCACGGACGTTACAGTACCAACTCCACAAGATTTTTTTTATAAGTAAACCTTACAAGGAGCTCGATGGCGCTAGTAGTCAGCGCGTTTGGCTGCGATCGTTGAAGTTCAGCAACTTTCGCAGTGGTCGGTCATTGAATGGGTGATCAAAAATTCACATTATCTCTTATCTAATAGACAAGTCCGTCAGTCCGTCCGTGGTGCTGTTTCAGCGGCCAAACCGTAAGAGATAGATAAAGAGAATGTTTAAGTTATAAGTTAAGAATAGTCTGATAAGACTACAAACCTGATTTGAGAACGTAGCACTTCCGGTTTTCGAGAAATCACGTGATTTCTATTTCAAACGAAACCACACAAAATCTCCGAAGTTCTCAATTAATTAAATACTTTTTTTTTTTTGGTGAACATTTGGTTCACTGGTTTGCTAGTATATAATATAATTTCTCGAGCTTCTCCGTGCTTCGGAAGGAACGTTAAGCCGTTGGTCCCGGCTGCATCTACAGTCGTTAGCACCCACCAATGCGCACTGACCCGCGTGGTGGGTCATGGCCCAATCTCCCTGTTCCATCCATAGAGAAGGCCTGTGCCTCAGAAGTGGGGACATTAATAGGCTGATAATGATAAAACCCGACAAACCATAACAAACCACCTGAATTTTCTTTAGAAAAATCTACATGTCCCCATCATTCAATCCTTCATTACTTTAAAAAAAAAACAGTTGTTAGGAAGAAACGCGTGAGCGGGCAAAGCATTATGGATAGTGCGACAAAGAAATGAGTCACCAAATTACTTTGTTAACATTGTAATAGTGACCACAATAAGTCTGTGACAACGTAGGGCAGCGTGTGGTGATCTGAAGGAATGGGGAACATAGGATAAGGAAGAATTATCTCTTTGCTTCGGAAGGCACATTAAGCCGTTGAGCCCGGCTGCATCTGCATTCGTTAGCACCCACCAATCCACACTAGGCCCGCATGGTTCTGAGTGTTCTGAGGAGTTATTCTCTCTTATTCCACCTTCCCCTTTCCTTCGGAGGACCACGCGCCCTGGCCTACGTTGCCACCGACTAATTGTGACCAGTATTCCAACGCGTACAAAGAAGTTTAGAGTCATTTCTTTGTCGCACTATCCGTAAATGGAATGCTCTGCCCGCTCACGTATTCCCTCCCTCTTACAACCTAGGATCCTTTAAAGGAGGCGTGAAGAAGCAACATGCAGGCTGGCAGAATGCGGAAGGCTGGTGGTAGAACTGCTGTATCAGCTATTTTCGCGTCTGAACTTCACTGTCACTTATCATCAGGAAGGGTAGAGTCATTTGTCGGGCCTATCTTTAAAAAAAATGGTCCAATCTCCCTATTCTATCCATAGCAAATGCATGTGCGTGGGGGCTGATGGAAACCGATGGGGATGATTGTTGTGTCCAACATTTATTATTATTTCCTGTTTATTTAATGTTGGGAAGGAAAGGTTCTCGAATAGCGACCATGCACCGGACGACGCTCGGTAGCCTGGCCCGTCTCCAAGTGGACTGACGATCTGGTGAAGGTCGCGGGAAGCCGATGAATGCGAGTGGCACAGGACCGATCGTTGTGGGAATACTTGGGAGAGGCCGATGTTTATGATTATAGTTATATTTGACTGCTAGATGTTTAGATTTAAAGAAAATTTTACTAGAAAAAAATTCCACGCGGACACACACCCTCCGCTATCGGGACGAATGCACCGACCATTACGCTACCGTGGCCCTGATTGTCCTCTCTAGTATTTCTTAGGCTGCAAGACAGCGTCATCTCTTCGCATTGTAGGTCGGTGCATCCGCCCGGATACGGATGGTGCGGGTTCGAGTCCTGTTTGCTGCTTGATTTTTTTTCTAGTAAAATTTTGTTGTTTGTCGTCGTCTGTGCAGTGAGCAGTTCTCTGTGCAGCGGAACTGTCCCAAGAAGTGACGCGTCTTCACCTCATCCACTCGTGTCCACAACACACGCAGGTAAAAAGCACTCTGAACCTTCGATCTTTGAACACTGAAAAAAATAATTACGAATAAAAATTTTACACGGCTAAGGGCTCAAGGCGAAACATTTAAAGAACTTTGCTTTTACATGTTTAAAAATAGTGTCTACGTTTATAACAGTTCAGGGCTGATTTTGATATTGAGGAGCTCGATGGCGCAAGTGGTTAGCGCGTTCGGCTGCGATCGTTGAAGTTAAGCAACTTTCGCAGTGGTCGGTCATTGGATGGGTGGCCAAAAATCTTCTACGTCGAGTTCCTCCGTGCTTCGGAAGGCACGTTAAGCCGTCGGTCCCGGCTGCATCTGCAGTCGTTAGCACCCGCCAATTCGCATTGGGCCCGCGTGGTGATGGCCCAATCTCCCTACTCCATCCATAGGGAAGGCCTGTGCCCCAGCAGTGGGGACATTAATAGGCGGATGATGATGATGATACAGGTGGCGGCCGTCGTGGCGCCCTCCAACTGTGGCAGTTCTTAGTGTCGTTGCTGGCTGAAGGCGCCCGCTGCGTCGCGTGGACTGGCCGAGGGTTGGAGTTCAAACTGCACGAGCCAGAGGAGGTGAGATACTACAGGAACGTATAATGTATAAACTAGCGGCGTCACGACATCTTCTTGACTCTCCCTTTAATAGTCCAGTAAAATTGGCACCTGAAAGTACGCGGTATTTTGCATAAAATCCAGAAATATGAGCCATGGTTATTGGAAACACTGGTGACCTTGCGACATCTACCTTCCTTTCCCATAATCTGTATATATACTAGCTGACCCAGCCAACTTCGTACCGCCCTAAAAAATAGGGGTTGTCCAGCGGACAAAATTGTGAATCTAAACCATTCTCAGATCCCCTTGAACACACACAAAAAAATTCATCAAAATCGGTCCAGTCGTTTAAGAGAAGTTCAGTGACATACACACTCACAGAAGAATTATATATATAAAGATAAAACACAAAGGTCTATCTATCAACGCACAGCCCAAACCACTGGACGGATCGGGCTGAAATTTGGCATGCAGGTAGATGTTATGACGTAGGCATCCGCTAAGAAAGGATTTTGATCAATTCTACCCCCAAGGGGATAAAATAGGGAATGAAAGTTTGTATGAAACTTTGTCAGTTTTTAACCGATCGGACTGAGACTTTGCATGCAGGTATAAGAAGAATCATAGATGAATGTCATTGTGTATAATACAAGCCTGAGAAGAAAAACTGTAGTCTACACTTCAGCTCTACACCGAAGCGAAGCGAGGGCGGGCCGCTAGTTGTCCAATAAAATTGTCGTTTAAAAGTACAGAGTACTTTGCGACTGCGTTCAGTCCCTAAGTTCAGATTTTCTGTAGACCTTTTTATGATGTTGGCCCAATAAATAATCCAAGTTTCTGAACTGGTGCTCGAACTGCGAAGTACAAAAAATTTAAAACTTTCGGTGGCGTGGGATTCTTTCTGTGTACAAGCCATTTTAATTATATTTTATTAAGTTTGCATTCCGAGTCGATGCTGCCTAAACTGCTGACACAGTTGACCCACTAATTGCTTTTAAGAACAATCTTTTACATTATATGACAGTGCAATAAAGGTATTCACACCATATTGACATATTTTAATAATTATCTCCTGACAATCGTGCCGTGACTAATTGACATATTGACAGTCGTTAGGGTCCTAGTAACGGCTCCTACATGCTGTATAAGGGTGGTGGTGAAGGAAAACCCGCTATTAATAATAAAATTGGATACTTTAACGGACTCATAGGTACAGAGGTTGCGCCATCACCGAGAGAGTGAAACGGAAATTGGTGTTACCAGAGCAACAAATATATTATTTTTTGTTAAATGTTTCATGTTGCCAACACTTTTTCTCGTAAGTTTTTCGCGTATTCCTGTAGGAATGCCAGAGGGGAAGATCTTCCTCTGAGCGGGTGATGTTAGCTCGGGGGCCACGGCCCGACTGAAGTTAGTCGGGCAACGTATATATGAACTGTTTGTTGGCTACCGAATTTTACTTGCGCGATGTAGGCTTCCTTACGTTGTGAACGCAGCGCCGGTAGTGCCATCTCTTGAGGAGGCGTAAGATTGTTTCCTCTATGTTAGTTATATGTGGGGCGTGTAGATGTCGCCGCCACATTCCAACGCCATCAATCTTCAGAATGCGAATATAGGCTGACGAAGTTTCGTTATGTTTGTGCAGGTAGCGAGACGATGGGGCGCCCAGAAGAACCGGCCGGCCATGAACTATGACAAGCTGTCGCGATCACTCCGATACTATTACGAGAAGGGGATCATGCAAAAAGTAGCGGGTGAGTAAATGTGGTGCTTTTTTATTCATGGTGAGTAGTGGTTGCTTTTCTTGACAGATTTGGGTGTAGGAAGGCCAAAGAGGAAGATCTTCCTCCGAGGTGGGTGGTGTTAGCTCGGGGGTCGCGGCCCGACTGATGTAGGTCAGGCATTGCGGAGTGCTAGGATAAATTCTAGAGGGGGGTTGCATATCGAAAGTTTAGTAACCCTTTCCAAATTTCCAGGCTCCGGCCTTCATATCGAACTTAGGTGCTTGGTAATGACTGCAGAAGAAAGCAGCCTGGAGTAGGGATGCGCCGAACCGATCCGATCATTTGAAAGATCGGATCGGAAGGCATACGTTCCGGTAATTTTCGGATCGGATCCAGGCCATACGATTTTTTGCCGGATCGTTACAAAACTCGAAAGATCGGATCGCTTGGATCGTATGAATTAAAACGCGGTTTGTTTACAATAAATTGGGTAGGTACTTACTAAGGTTTCTGTTACGAACTTTATCTTTGTTTACATTTTAACTTGGCGGCATTCTTTGCAGGTGGATCCGTTAATCTTATACATTCTATTATTATAAACAAAAGTTGTACTGATTAGGTGTGACGATTTTTGATAGGTTTACCAAATAATAAATCTAAAATAATTTGTCTTATTTATTGTATCCAATCCGATCCGATTTCTTGAAGATCGGATCGACGGCATGCGATCCGATCCGCGGATCGGATCGTAGCATTACGATCCGAAAAATCGGATCGACGACCCGGATCGCACATCCCTAGCCTGAAGCAACAGTTTGTGCCTTCCGGAGCACGGATGGATTTTCCGCTCGAATTAGAGCGCCCGTCTGATGATTACTGAGGGAGTGTAGGAAGACTGATGTTGGTCTGGCATCGTATATATGAACTGTTGGCTACCGAATTTTACTTGCGCGATGTAGGCTTCCTTACGTTGTGAACGCAGCGCCGGTAGTGCCATCTCTTGAGGAGGCGTAAGATTGTTTCCTCTATGTTAGTTATATGTGGGGCGTGTTGATGTCGCCGCTACAGGAGTAACCTCCAACTTTACTGAGGACAGTAAAATAACACTATCTTTTGTTGGTGTTGTGTTTCTGTTGCTGAGTAGGCAACGGTGCGAGTGGTGTTGTTGGTATCGCAAACTATGGGTTATGGTGGCCGTTCACCATCAGGCGGGCTAATTTCTTGTTAGCCAATCTTTGAACTTAAAAATAATTATGATTTTATTTATTTTTAAGCATTTAACTGCTAGATGTTTAAATCTAAACGAGACTCGAACCCGCATCCTTCGCTATCCGGGCGAATGCACTGACCATTATGCTACCACGGCCCTATTAGCCGCGTCGAAATTGTCCTAGCCTTAAGCTGCAAGGCAGCGCCATCTCTTCGCATTGTAGGTAACCCACAATGTCAAATGAATACTTTTTCAAGTATTAAACATTTGAAAGAAGAAATAGCAATTATAGTTATGATTTTATTTATTTTTTAAGCATTTAACTGAAAGGTTGAAAGAAAGGTTTACTAGAAAAAAAAAACCTACTTACAATGCGAAAAGATGAAAATAATGGTCAGTGCATTCGCCCGGATAGCGAAGGGTGCGGGTTCGAGTCCCGTCCGCTGCCTGGTCCGCGTGGATTTTTTTCTAGTAAACCTTTCTTTAGATTTAAAAATAATTGTGCTCCTCATTTACATTCATTATCATCAGCCTATTAATGTCCCCACTGCTGGGGCACAGGCCTTCCCTATGGATGGAATAGGGAGATTGGGCCGTGATCCACCACGCGGACCCAGTGCTAACGACTGCAGATGCAGTAACCAACCGCTTAACGTGCCTTCCGAAGCACGGAGGAGGGAGAGATAGTAAATTTTCGGTCACCCATCCCATGACCGACCACTGCGAAAGTTGCTTAACTTCAACGATCGCAGCCGAACGCGCTAACCTCTTGCGCCATCGAGTTCCTCATTGACATTGACATGATTGAAACTTTGACTTATTTAGATACTTTACGAGACAACTGATCGGAACGTAGATCGAACGAAATTTATAAGACTTTTGCGAGTCAAAGTTTCGGCGCATCGAGATCGAGATCAAACTTATACAGGGTGTAAAAAAGTTGAAAGCCACGTATTTTCCACATCATGACGATCATTTTTTTCTTCTGGACCATACCTGGGAAACTTAGCTTATGGATATATTGAAGGTCAAAGTCACAAAAAATTTTTTTCAAGATTTTGACAAAAACCTTGTTTAGACACTTTTTTATCGACGCACTTACACACACACAGCTCGTCGCGTTATACATTGCGTACTGGATTTTTTGAAGTTATACTTCTTTAGGCGCGTTATGAAAAAATTATGAGAGTGAAATTTTAAGATGCGCGCGCATCACTGTAACACAAAAAATTAACTACTAAACTACTAAAGCGACCAACTTCATGCTGTTACTTTTGTGTTTACCGCACATTAAGAAAATCTACCAACAAAATAGAAATAGAATCTCTATTTTGTGGGTGCTAACGACTGCATTGTGAAGGCCTATCAAGACTTTCCAGACTTTTTATTAATTTATTGTAATTAATTATTTGCATGCAATTAAAAACTAATTTTAAACGATGCCAAAGAAGGATAACTTCTCACGCGCCTACATAAGTACACGCACCCATTTTTTTTGTACTTTTTTAACTTAAAAATACAAATGTTTCCCACGTATAATGTTTTGTAATATTACCTGTCTGGGTGTACAGATTACGTAGTTACACCTTGTATTTAAATCGTCCCTTTTTGCTCACAGGCGAACGCTACGTTTACAAATTCGTGTGCGATCCAGAAGCGTTATTCAGCATGGCGGCTCGAGCCCGCAGCCCCCCTCCCGCGCCCCCCGCGGCGGCGGCGCCCCCCCTCCCGGCGGGGACCAGCGCCGCCAGCGCCCCCGCGCCCGGCTACGACGTGCTAGCCCAGCTGTACGGATGCCCGCAGTACCATCTGCCGCATCACGATCCGAGGAGATACTACGCCAACCATTTGCCACATTACGACACGTGAAAACGTTGACGACGCGTCAAAATTGTAGTTTTATTTGTAGTGGAACGACATGTAAAAACATCATCTCGGTTACAATGCTGCGCGAAAACCACGACTGTGTAATAAAATGTAATTTTTTAATCATTAACTACATTATGAAAATTAAAAATTTAGTTTTATCGACACGTGATAACTGCTACTGTGTAATGTAGTTCGTGTAAGGATAGTGTAAGGGCTTGGCCCCCCATGGTCATGTGTGTAATGGGGCCAAGCCCTTAAGCCAAGGAAACGTCAGATTAATTATGTGTGTCTTGTCTCATTTTATTGATATCGCAGAGAAACTGACAGCACCACCTGACCCGACAGCAAAACAATATAAGTTTTAAACTTTCATGGTCACTAAGATTACAGCTATTAACCCCTTATTGCATGAATTATAAAACGGATGAAATAAAACAAAAATTTTAGCGATTGTATCTTTTATTAGTCTTAATTAAGAAATTAATAATAATAAAAAAATTTTTTTTTACTTATTTTGGAATTTAGCCCACAAAGCCATATATGGATTCGTATGCAGTCTAGTGAAATAATAGATATCCATATATGGCTTCGTATGCATTAGGAACATTATAGAAACTTATATCTTATGAAAATATTTAAAACAGTTACGTTTATCATTGTAACACAAATCACACATAGTGAATGATCGATATTTTGAACATTCCTGACATAATTGTCGATTTTGTTTCCATTCGGGAAAGTGGTCAAAATTGTCAGATGAAAGGTCATCGTCACTCATAAAGCCATTGCCAGGAATAGGGTTAACATGCTTGGAAGTACCATAAAAGCGAGAAGGATTCATTGCTGCAAAGAAAGAAAAAAGGCAAATGAACACACACAAAGTCATATATGAGCGTTAGAAATGTTAACGTGAATGCATACGAAGCCAAAAATGGCAATTTCAAAAAAGGATCCATAATTGTTTCTTAGGTTTCCACGCACATCACTCATTAAATAAAACTAGTTTAAACGGGATAATGCACGAAACTTTATTTATTTATTGACGTTTCGTAGCCTTTCCAGGCTTCGTCGTCAGAATAAAACTTTTGTTTAATTTGTCGAGCTACCTTCGAAAGACTTTTATTGAGCGTTTGGTTATTTCATCGTTCGATTTTTAAGTTTTATTGTCTATGTATGAATTTATTATTTAATTTACTTAATAAAGTATTTTATTTAAAATTCTTGTTTGTAATTTTGCGTTTATTTATTTGACCCTAACTACCGTAAACTACCACCGGTTCCAAAATTGGGAGACCTTCCTGAGAAGAACCGGCGAAACAAACTCAAGAGAGGCTTTCTATCTCCTTCTTATGTTAAATTATGCAAACAAAAAGAACTAATAGTATCTGATGGTCTTGCAGTATGTGCTCGGGGTTGGGATTTTATCTCCTGTATAATAGGTTCCCAAGCTGGTGGTATATACCAACCATCTTCCCTATTGAAATTTGGATATTTTTTAATCTCAATAGCCTCGCGCATCATTCGAGGAACGAAACGCCGCTCAGCTGCAAGGATCTGTGGTCTATCAAATCTAATGTAGTGGTTTGGTCCCCCTAATGCATGTTCACACACTGCAGATTTATTTTCGCGCCTATGTTTCATATCTGCGATATGTTCTTTTACGCGAGTCCCTATACTCCTCTTTGTTTGACCGATGTAGGAGAGCCCACAGTCGCATTCAAGTTTGTAGACACCAGCAACTTGAAAGGGTATATTGCACTTGACTGGTCGTAGAAACTGGTTGATCTTCTTTGGCGGCTTGAAGTATGTATTGATTGAAGCACGCTTCAGAATCCTCCCAATCTTGTCAGTGACTCCTTTCATGTAAGGTAGTATAGCAGGTTGTCGGTCGACTGTGCTAGGTTTGGCGCGACTGTGACGGCGACGTGGTACATTCAGGTTATTATCCTTCAGTACTTGCTCGACATGCTGAAGTTCAGCTGCCAGGTGTTGTTCGTCACAGACACCCCGCGCTCTCTGAAACAAAGAGTTTCCTACGGCAGTTAATTGTTTCGGGTGATGGTGTGAGTCACCATTGAGGTACCTATCAGTATGAGTCACTTTACGATACACAGTATGGCTTAAACTTTGGTCAGGATTCCTAATTAATAAAATATCTAGAAAAGCTAGTTTGCTATCTGCCTCTAACTCCATAGTGAATAGGATGTTGGGGTGTATAGAGTTAAGGTGATTTAAAAAGGCAGAAATTTGATCTGTTGGGAGGATTGTGAAAGTATCATCTACGTACCGCTTATATAGCCTGGGTGTGACAGGTGCTACGCTGAGAGCCCTCTTCTCGAAGTCTTCCATGAAAATGTCGGCGACAACAGGTGAGACAGGGGAACCCATTGCCACACCCTCCATTTGTACATAGAAGTCATCCCCCCATAACAGGTAGCCAGATGTAAGGCAATGCTCCAGTAATACTGCATATTCTACAGGCATATTATTTTCAAGTAGCTTCTTCTTAGTGATTTCAATGCAGTCCTGTACTGGTAGGCATGTAAATAAGGACTGAACATCAAAACTGACCATGATTTCATTGTCCATGAGACGTTGATCTCTAATCTCATTGACAAATTGGTATGAATCTTTCACAAAGGCTGTTGTGTTACCTCTCAGTGGTGAAAGTAACTTTGCTACGTGTTTAGCCAAACGGTATGTTGGTGAATCAATCTGGCTTATCAATCACTTTCCGAAACGTTGAATCTTGACATCAACTACCTAATTCCTGCATGTCCCAAGCCACCAAAACTGTATGGGTTACCGAAAATACACAAACCGAATGCTCCACTACGTCCGATTGTAAGCCAGATTGATTCACCAACATACCGTTTGGCTAAACACGTAGCAAAGTTACTTTCACCACTGAGAGGTAACACAACAGCCTTTGTGAAAGATTCATACCAATTTGTCAATGAGATTAGAGATCAACGTCTCATGGACAATGAAATCATGGTCAGTTTTGATG